CCCCCCCCCCCCCTGTTTTACATGACAAGGCGTATCGAAGTTGCCTGCCTTGATTTATCTACACTGTCGATTTTTATAAGAAACGACAGTCGTGTAGCAGTAAGGTGTCTGGCCGTTACTTTCAAGTTATTCCTCTCAGCCCAGCTGGCCTTTGCTGGCAGGGTGGAAGCCATGGTCGAAGTCCACCTCCCAAATGGAATAATCGTGCCGCCTGTCGTAAAAAAAAAAAAAAAGAATTTAAGGGGGGGAAAAAGGAAGTGGTAGGCCACTTTGTTTTACCCAGCTCTAAAACACTGAACGCCCATAGTAGCCTAGACCTTCTCTTTCTTAGAAATTGATCTCGAGAAGAATAATTTAAAAAACCCACGAAAAAAGCCATTAATGGTAGACGGTTATTGCCACTTGTTGCATGGCTTTTCGTATTATCTTTCTGATCCCGCTATTGTTTTATGGGGCTCTTCTCAGATCTAGTGTTTGCGCTGCTCTTCAGCTCACAACCTCTTAAACAACTGAATTGCAGAGCGAGTGTTTGGTTGACGGGTGCTCTTGTGTGATTTGCTCCTTCTTTCCTATCAAACATCTATCGTCCTTGCCTCCCCTCCTCTTTCTTTTTTGTGTTTGTTACTCTCTTGTAACACCTCTTATCTTCGGCACTTATTTGACCTAATCGTGCTTTAAGTGCCGTAAAACTCTTACTAAAACAAAACATTGTCGAGTGCAACCAGTGACGCCAAAAAGAGCCCTTTAATCCTATGGTGAGGGGACGCCACTTGGGAACTTGGCAATGTGCCATATCATGTCCCACGTTCCATATCATTGTTTTAGTAATGGTTTTACGGCGCTCGCAACTGCATAAAGTCATAATATGAGCGCCAAGGGGTGGATGTCAACAGAGAAGTCCTGACAGGGAATCAGGCTTACTCTGTTCACCTCTCTAGCTTCAGCAGCTCAAAGTCTGCTTCGACTATCAAGGCACCCCTGAAATAGAGGGTCACAAGAGTGTGACAAAAATACAAAAGAAGTAGAGGAAAAATGACGATAGTAAGGATTAGGAAAGTAAAAGAGCCAGTTCCTTGTTGCAGTTTAGGCACAGTTATGAGCATGGCATTGATGAATCAGCCCATTTGCAATTACAATTCTACTGTGCGTAAGAACATGTTTAATG